CCAAAACCAAAAAAGAAAATCAGCCTGGTCCCTGCAGGATTTCTGGCCTCCCCCTTTCTCCCCGGCCATCCCTGCATGTGTGGGTGAACAAGGTCCAGCCATGCTTAGGGAAAGCCCACCCCCACCCCAGGGCATTCACTGCTCCCACAGTAAAAACCACCAACACCCTGCCTTGATCCTCTTGATGAACCACTTCTGCAACTCTCCAGATGATTCCAGGCTCAAGTGCCTGGCACCTGCTCTTGCATCTGGAACATTCTCTAATGTTCCATTCTCAGCTCCCCTGCGTGTCTCCTCTTCCTTCAAGTCTATCTGCTCGGAAAGTGCATTCTCTTTCTCTTGTCTCTGTCTGTGTCTCTGTCTGTCTGTCTGTCTATCTCCCCCTCCCCCAGGATGCCAGCAGCCACCCCGCCCTCCAGGCCCAGGCCTGGTGCAGGGCCACAGACACTTGGTAAATATTTGGTGAATTAACTGTCATCTGTGATAAAGGCTTGGGCTGAGACAAGCCCTGGGGTGACACTGAGGTCCCAGAGGGGGTGAGGGAATGGCTCAGGGGAGGTGTCAGGCTGGGTGAGAGATCTGAGTGGAGAGAGAGGATGACTCATTGGTCTGCGGGTCACATCTGCCATCCTAGCTACTCAGGAGGCTGAGATCTGAGGATCGAGGTTCAAAGCCAGCTGGGGTAGGAAAGTCCCTAAGTCTCTTTGAAGCAGCAAAAAGCCAGTGACGCTGTGCTTCAAGTGGTTAGAGCACTAACCTTGGGTGAAAAAGGTCAAGGACAGAGCCCAGCCCTGCGTTCAGTCCCCAGGGAGGGAGGACGCGGTCCCCAGGCCCGGCCAGCTCCCTCCCCCGCGGGCTGCCTCTCCCGGTTTTATCTCCTGTGCCAACCCTTCACGGGTCAGCGGCCCTGTGCCCAGCGCGGGCTGCCTCGGATCCCACAGCCAGGGCTCCCTCCAAACCCTCGCCTGCAACCGCTGGACACAGACGCCAGGAAGCGGTGCAGCTGTGCACGCCTGCCACCCGCCGCTCCCCACCCCGGGCAGGGGGGCAGGGGCGCGCTCACCTCAGTCTAGAGGTCACCTAGACAGAGCCAGAGCCTGCCTGAGAGACAGACAGACACAGGGGCAGAGAGAAGGGCACAGGGCGGGGGGGGTGAAAGGGGAGGAGGAGGGGGAGGAGGAGGAGGA